GATTTTTTTTTTTTTTTGAATCAGGAGAGAAAGGTCAAGAAAGAAGTTTTCAGGATTTTTGCCCAATGAAGTTCTTGATACTCTCACCAGAGGTATAGTTTCTCTTTTCCTGCATTCGACCATTCCTTAACCTATTGTGATAGCTTTTCCTTAAGGAACTCGATCTTTCCTAAAAACTTATTTGATTGCTTTGTATGAGCAGAATAACAAGCATTCCTCTGCTTTAGAGTAAGTTTCTGGGCAGGCAGTTTGTTCACCTTTATATATTAGTTCCTATGAGAGTTACATAATCTTTAATCTAGGTTATACTTAACCTGGTGATAGATTTTGTGAACCAAAACATAAAACGAAGGTCAACGAGTATGATTTATCCTGCTCTTCAGGTAGTTGATGGAAATTTTAGTTAGGGCTTCAAATACGAAGATCACAGTTTTTATTAGTAGTTTTGGTAAACAAATGCATTCCTACTATGATCCGTTGGTGTATGGAATCTCAACTATTTGATATTTTTGGTTATGATCCTTTTTACGTTTTGCTTCAGATTCATTCAGCAAAAGCTAGGAGGTCCTTCAGTCTCTGACTATGAGAAGTGTCAAGCAGGGAAGTCTTATATTTAAATAAAGAACATTGAGATTTTGGCTAAAGACCAGGAAACTTTCATATAGGTATTGTTTCCTAACTTGAATTTAACTTATCATTAAACCATCTATAGTTGAGTAGCACATGAATCCATGCTTATTCAGTACCTTAGTATTATTGGCGTTGCAATTGCTTTCTTCACCATCTACAATCATAAACATATTGAGTCATCCTTTGTTTACTGAAATTACTTGAGACTATAGCCATAACGAGTTCATTTATCAAGAGTAGCTAACTCTATTTGTAGCTAAGTTTTTTCGTGGTCATAATTAACAAGAGTCCGTAAAAGTATAGAAGTGTCAAAATCTGCTTGGCACATCTATTTGTGGTTAATGTTATGGCGAGCTTGCCTTCACTAAAAACTCTTCAAAAGAGCATGAAGACAAAGAGGCTATGAAGACGAGCACATGACCCTTTTGAATCCTCACCACTAAATTGTTTGTTGTATTTGCAGAGTTCTAGACTTCTTATGATTACTGTCATTGTGTTTTTTTTTTGTTCCAATTACGATCAATAACCATGATCTTATTCCTATCCCTTATGCCTAGAGTCCACATGATTCTTTGAAATTAATTCTAATTTGCTAATTTTAAAAATATAGTGGAATACATGTACGAGTTTATAAACTATTGCTATGTTCCATATATAATTCTTGCAATTAATTTGATATGCAATGAAAATTGTTACTATTCATTTCCCAAAACCATTTTAAACCACATTCTTGATAAATGTTATTAACGACTTCAGAAAATCCGTTTAGTTAAACAAGTAAAAAACAATATACAAACCAATAGAACATAGAAAACTAAACGTCATTAACAAAATAAAAGAAGCATGAGCTATCTTCTTTAATGTTGCAAGTATTTTTATATATATTAGCTTTAATCAGTGAAGATTATTTAAATAAAAGAGAATAAAATAAAAAGAAAAATATTTATAATAAACAATCCGCGCGAAGCACGGAAAAAAAAATCTAATTATATTAAAACAAGACGAACTAAGTCACCTTTCTCACTTTAGCACAAATAAATGCCCACTATAGTAAATATTTAATGTAATATAAATATTTCATGTAAAGTTGGAGGTTGGATGACCGAGAGGTGAGCAGAGTGTTTATGAGAAAACAAAAGAAAAAAGAGACTATAAGCTATTAGGTACTATCAATTAACATATTTAAGAACACTTGAGTAAGCATTAAAATAGAACATAAGATAAAGCTTTGCTCTTCTAGGTTGAGTACAATAAACATAAAAATAATGATCATTCAAGCCTATAGCAAGTCTATTTCGTCAATTATTTGAGAAACAAAACTCCAATTATATATCATGTATTAGCATGTGACATCTAAAGATAACTATACTATAGATTTTTAACCACGATGCAAATTTTTTTTTATTTTGCTAATAATTATTTAAGAGACTCTTATTTTGATCACCAATCCATTGTGAGAAAAATAACAGTTTTATACCAAAAATAGATGATGTTTTCCATTCGATTATTCAGTCGAACTTATTTTCATGATAAAGCATATATTATTCCAACATATATGTATATAAATTTTCAATTTACATAGTTTTAGTGGATATCTAAACCCACAAAATCGGATATTNAAATATATGATCAAAATATTTTAAAAGGAAACAACATGTCCTTAAAATATATCAATGTTATAAATTTTTCATATATAAATAATGATTATAAACAAGCCAAATATATCTTATCACATATAATCATTTATCACCTAAAACCTTCCAAAATACAAAAATCGTTACCATACACATCTCTTACAAATGCAAATGTAAAACATAAGTCACAAAATCTTAAATAATAACAACTTAGATCACAAGTAAAACATATCCCGCCCGTAGGGCGGGCCGACCCTAGTAGTATATGTAACTTTCTAATTTTTTTCTGTGTGTATGTT